CCCTTGTTGCAGCTGGAGCCCCTTGCTCCTTGTTCTGCCATCTGCCACCACTGAGATGAGTCCAGCTCCTTCCTCTTTGCAACCACCTGCAAGGAGTTAAAGGCTGCTATTAAATTCCCCCTCATCTTCTCTTCTGCAGACTAAATAAGCCCAGTGCCCTTAGCCTCTCCTCACAAGTCATGTCCCCCAGTGCCCAAACCATTTTCTTTGCCCTCCGCTGAACTCTTTCCAATGTGTCCACATCCTTTCTGCAGTGGGGGGCCCAAAACTGGACACAGGACTCCCAAAGTGGGCTCCCCAGTGCTGAATAGAGAGAAAGAATCACTTCCCTCCAGCTGCTGGCAATGCTCCTACGGATGCACCCCAGGATGCCTTTAGCCTTCTTGGCAACAAGAGCACACTGCTGGATCATATTCATCTCCTTTTCGCCAGGTCCTTTTCTGCGGTGGTGCTGCCCAGCCAGTCGGCCCTGGCCTGTACCGTCACATGGGATTGCTCTGTCCTAAGTGCAGGACTTTGCACTTGTCCTTGTTGAACCTCATGAGACTCCTTTGGCCCAGGCCTTCCAATTTGTCTAGGTCACTCTGAATCCTAGCCCTAGCCTCCAGCGTATCTACTACTCCCCCAGCTTCGTGTTATCTTCACTCTTGCTGAGGGTGCACAACATCCCATCCTCCAGGTCAATGATGGAGACATTGAAAAAAACCAGCCTGAGGACTGACCCGTGGGGCACTGCTCCTGATACCAACTGCTTCTGTTTGCCAAATGTGGTTACCTTTGACTGGGAGTCTCTATTCCAAGCTCATCTTTTCATTTTTAGGTGGGGTAGGTTTGCTCTCACTGTTCCTCTTTGCTCAGGCTGAAATTATTCAATTTAGTTGGCCAACTTCCTGGTCAGTTTTAAGGTAGGGACAGTATTATTTCATCTGTTCCTTTTACTGGCTGCATGTCTCAACCACAATTCAACTAAGCATGCAGCTTAAGCTAAGCACAAAAGTCAAAACCCAGGCCTGAAGCCCACGGGTCCCAACACAGCACCCTGCAGGGTCCCTGCTCCTGGGTCCAAGCCTGTGTAAATCCTCTGGACTGGACTGGATTCTGGCACTGGTACTCGGAGCCCCGCAAATCCATGTCCCAGGAAGAGTGTCCCCTGATCCTCCCCCACCCTGTGAGCTGCCAGCCCCTCAGGTCTCCTGCTCTGGTATAGGGAGGTCTTGCTTCCAATGCGCTTCCCTCCATTGGACCCACAGCCGGGATGGCAGAGAACACCCTGCTCCCACCTCCCACCCCAGCCCCTGGGCCTGAGGCCAGCCTGGAGCAGACCCCTTGGGGGGACATCAGAGCTGGCAGGAGAGGCCCCCTGGGGAAATGGCCCTGCCCGTGGAGAGCCTGGCATGGGTTCTGCTGGCCCCAGTGCACAGGGGAGGAGGCAGCTGCCCGGGTCCTCGACCGTCTCCCTGGCGGCCTTCCTGCCTGATCATTGCCGCTGCCCTCGGCAGATTGGTACAAGAGGTACTGGGCAGTGCAGCCTGGACAGAGGTGGACACGGCTGGGAGCAGGGCAGGATCGCTGCTGAGCTGGGAGCAGGGAGGCAGCGGTTGTGGGGGCCAGTTGCAGATTGGTGGCCCTGGGGCTGTGCCAGGCAGTGATGCAGTGCGGACCCTGCCTCTCTGGATCCAGCACGAGCCCTCCCTGCTCCCTTTGGAGCTGCCCCGAGGCAGGGACAGCAGTGCCCCAAGTGTCAGGAGTGCCGAGGTGGCAGGGGAGCTGTTGTGTCCAGTGACACTATATTGGGTCTTGTACCGCATACGGAGACTAAGGCATGGGTGTCCTAAATTAGAAGCAAGTTTTTTGAACCCTGTCAGATACAACCGTAAATGAATAATGAAGCATTTTCAGCGGTTATAACTGAGCTGTACTTAGTGCAAAGCAAGAAAAGATGCTGACCACCCCAAGATTGAACGGAGGTGTTGTCACTGCCTGGCCAGTCCATGAGCTCTTTTCCGAGGTTCCCAACTCTTTTGTCTGCGATATGGATGTTAGGTCGGCGACCGAACAGTTCAGGACTAGATTCAGGAGGGTACATGCCCTCCCCTTTCTTTACATACCAGATAGCTTGCATTTCTTAATACAAAAATCAACTCAAACCTTCCTGCTAGTGTATATTAACAATCATGGAATCATAGAAAATAAGGGTGCAAAGGGACCTCAGGGGGTCACATCCAGTCCAACCCCTGCTCAAAGGAGGACCACCCCCAACTAGATCATCCCAGCCAAGGCTTTGTCTAGCCGGGTCTTAAAAGCCTCCCAGGATGGAGATGGCACCACTTTTCTGGGTAATCTGTCTTGGTGTTTCACCACCCTCCTCATGAGAAAGATCTTCATAACATCTAACCTCAACTTCCCTTGCTGCAGCTTGAGCCCTTTTCTCCTTGCTTTGTCATCTGCCCCCACTGAGAACAGCCCAGCTCCATCCTCTTTGCAACCCCCCTGCAGGGAGCTGAAGTCTGCTATTCAACCCCGCCTCAGACTTCTCTTCTCTAGACTAAATATGCCCAATTCCTGCAGCCTCTCTTCACAAGTCCTGTCTCCCAGCCCCACAACCATTTTTGTTGTGATGTGCTGGACTCTCAGCAATGTGTCCATGTCCTTTCTGTAGTGGGGGGCCCAAAACTGGACACAGGACTCCAGATGTGGCGTCCCCAGTGCCGAACAGAGGGAAGAATCACTTCCATGACCTGCTGGCAACACTCCTAGCAATGCAGCCCAGGATGCTGTTAGCCTTCTTGGCTACAAGAGCAGACTGCTGGCTCATATCCGTCTTCTTGCCCACTGTCACCCCAAGGTCCTATTCTGTGTAGCTGCTGCCCAGCCAGTTGGCCCTGTCCTGTACCGCCACATGGGATTGCTCCGTCCTAAGTGCAGGACTTTGCACTTGTCCTTGTTGCACCTCATGGGACTCCTTTTGGCCCAGTCCTCCAATTTGTCTAGGTCACTCTGAATCCTAGCCCTACCCTCCAGCGTATCTACTACTTTCCCCAGCCTGGTGTCATCTGCAGTCTTGCTGTGGGTGCACTGCATCCCATCCTCCAGGTTGATGATGGAGACATTGAACAAAACTGGCTCCAGGACTGACCCCTGAGTCACTGCGCTTGATACCGGCTGCTTCTGTTTGCCAAATGTGGTTACCTTTAACTGGGAGTCTCTATTCCAAGGTCATCTTTTCATTCTTAGGTTGAGGTAGGTTTGCTCTCACTGTTCCTCTTTTGCTCAGGCTATATTTATTCAATTTAGTTAGCCAACTCTCCAATTTGTTTTAAGACAGAGACAGTATTTTTCCATCTGCTCCTTTGCCTGGATGCTTGTCTCGACCACAAGCTAAGCATGCAGCTTAAGCTAATCACAAAGATCAAAACCTAGGTCTGAAGGCCTCTGGGTCCCAACACAGCACCCTGCAGGGTCTCTGCTCCTGAGTCCAAGTCTGTGTAAAGCCTCCCCATAGGCACCAGGGCTGGTGTCTGCAGGAGCAGCAGGGCGAGCCCCCTGGCTGAGCAGTGTCATGGCTGGACAGAGGTGCAGAAGCAGGGACCAGGCCAGGCACCTGGGATGGCATGTACCCAGGGCAGGCATCCAAGAGGGCACAGAAGTGCAGGGGCAGGGGGAAGGCTGGCCAGGAGCTCCCCTGTGCCGCGGGTGGATTGGGCTGGGCTCATTGCAAAGGGGAAATGCTATGGGTGGGGGGAGGGGGTGGATGTTGGGCACTAGCCCTGCCAGTGGAGAGCCTGGCATGCAGGGACTATGACATGGGAAACGCTGATGCTTGAGCATGCCCTGAGTGCTATTGTGCAGCCCCTAAGGCTCTTGCGAGGGTGGGGGAGGCATTGCCCCTGACAGGGTTCAGAGATGGAGGAGGGAAGGTTTATTTAGAGGTTGCAGTTGCCCTGGGGCAGTGATATTTGGTAATACCCGTGTCTTCAGGCCCATAAGTCCAGCCAATCCCTGCCTACAGTGGGTGTCCCGGGGTCTGCTGGGACTTCTGGGCAGGGGAAGAGGCAGATTTGGGGGGCACCCTGTGTGCCAGGGTGCCCGTGGGCCTGTAGTGCTGGGGGCTGCATTAGGGACTGGCCTCTGACACTCAGGGATGGACCCTGCAGACCCGCAGCCTGCTTCTGCTCTGTGCTGCAGCCTGCCCCAGGCGTTCCATCCCGGAGAGAAGCAGGGTCCATGTGGGCTGGGCCCTGCTCATTCCCCTTTCTCCTGCTTGCCAGCCACGACATGCACTGCCACGGTCCCGGCGATCAGCGCCCCCAGCACCAGCAGCAGGATGTGCCCCTTGGCCTGGCAGTAGGACAGCGACGAGGCTGGAACTAGAGCAAGGCAGTGGGTCAGAGCCAGGGAGAGGGGCTGGGTGCCCCAGGGGCTGAGCATGGGAGGGGGGGAGGGAAGCAGCACCCCCAAACTCACCAAGCACAAACAGCCGAAAGTAACTGGTGACATTGGAGCCATCCCCCAGCTTCAGGTCCATGGTGTAGAGGCCACTTTCTTTCTCCGTGACCGAGTTAATCTGCAGCGAGAGATTCCCAGGGTGGAAAGAGACTCTGTCAGCAAAGGGCAGAAATGGATTGGCTGGGGTGCCCTTCTCATCGTGCCTGAGGATCCAGTAGCGCTTTAAACGCAGTTTCACATTCCAGTTGATTGCCACCCAGGACAAACGCCATGTGTCGGGCTGCAGCTGAACCGTCTCCCCAACAGCAGCCACCACTTTTACTTCTTGACAACCTGGGGGTTCAGAAGGGAAGGGGGAAAGAAGGGTTTGCAGACTCCTCCAGCGGTCCTGGATCCCCACGCACACAGGCATTGCCTTTCCCAGGCCCAGGCACCTCTGGCCGCACAGCCTGGGGCTCTGCCTGCTGCCAGGAGCAGGAGCAGACACGGGGCCCCACCAGTCTGCCAGGCTCTCAGATGAGCCAGACTAAGATGGAGGCTGGGGCAGCTAGAGCATCCTCACAGATACTTGGCCCCTTCCTCTGGTTTCATTCAGGCCAGGCTCATGAACCAGCTCCATAAGACCCAGGAAGATGCTAAACATACCTGTCCCTCTCGTATGTCTGGTGCAAAGGGGGCACTTACCTGTGTAGTTGCACAGCGGTTCGACATCAATGGTGGCCATGCCCCAGCTGATGGCATTGCTGACATTGCAGTGATAGAAGGTGTTGTTGTCGCTTTTAGTGATCTCCAGCTGCAGATCGGCTTGATTCTGTTGAAGCCAAAGGTCCTCTGGGGCTGGGCTGGATGATACGCCTCGAGACCAGCTGTAGGTGACCCAGGCAGCTTTGGGCACCAAGCAGGACAGGGTAAGGTAGCACCATCCACACTCCTGGGAAGTAGATGCCTTGATCTTGGGCTGCTGGACATGGTCTGGAAGAAGAAGTCCCCGTGAGAGGGGCTGGGTGCCCCAGGGTGAGCACGGGGGGGAAAGCGGCACCCCCAAACTCACCAAGCACAAACAGACGAAAATTATTGGTGATTCCAGAGCCATCCCCCAGCTTCAGGTCCATGGTGTAGAGGCCACTTTCTTTCTCCGTGACCGAGTTAATCTGCAGCGAGAGATTCCCAGGGTGGAAAGAGACTCTGTCAGCAAAGGGCAGAAATGGACTGGTCAAGGTGCCATTCTGATCGTGTCTGAGGATCCAGTAGGTCTGTGAACCGAATTTCACTTTCTAGTCGATTGCCACCCAGGACGACGACCATGTCTTGGGCTGCAGCTGAACCGTCTCCGCAACAGCAGCCATCACTTTTACTTCTTGACAACCTGGGGGTTCAGAAGGGCAAGGGGGGGAGAAGGGTTCACAGACTCCTCAGCTCCTGAGAGAAATATAGGCTGCTGCACACTTCTCTCGGGTGCAAAGGGCACTTAGAGGCAAGCCATGTCTTGCATTTTCTACAGAACAAGTAGAAAAAAAGCATCTCCCCGTAGAAAAGATGCATCTCCCTGGAAGCTCCTGCTGCTTTTTGATATCCCTCATCCTAGCCCAGTGCTCCCCTCTGCAAAACATGGCACAAACATGGCTCCCAAAGACAGTCTCTGCTCCAAAGACCCCCTTCTACCATTCCTCAGCTCGCCCCAAGCTGCACCTGGGGAAGAGCAGCCCCTTGTCACTCACCTCCAGCTTGGAGGAGCAGAAGGAGGGAGAGCAGGAGGGGTCCGAGAGCCCCCATCATCCCAGCTGAGCCGCGCAGGACAGGTGAGTGCAGACCAGGCGGTGGAGAGCAAGGTTATGTGGCCAGGGTGAAGAAGTCAGATTAAGAAATGATGAAGAAGGAGGAACAAGGCGGAGTTCCCTCCTGAGGGCTCTCAATCCTGCAGGCCCTGAGTATCCCACGAGTGCAAGCAACCCTGCATAAAGCAAGGGAGAGGTGGCTTGAGTGGGGCTGGGCCCTGGCTCCATCTTCCAACAGCAGAGGAAGTGTGAGAGGAAGCCGAGGGCAGTGTGACCAGATGCTGGGTCCTTCTTCCAGCACCCTCAGGACCTGATCCTGCCAGGGCTTGGTGAAACCCTGACTCAGGGGTGCCTTTTGCAGCATAGACCCCGCCCCCCGCCCCTTCTGCAACCCAGCCCGCTGGCACTACTGCTAATTCCTTCGTGGCTGCACAAAGCGGGAACGGGCAGAGAAGTGCAGTGATTGGGTGAAACTGCAGTCTTTACTGGAGATTCACTGCACACGAATAAGCAGGGGGCAGATTGCGGGATGGAAGTGGTTAATGGAGTGCAGGGGGTGTTATGTCTCTGCTCTGTGTTCATGGGGGACCCTGGCACAGGACGCAGCCTGTCTGACTCACAAAGAACACCCCCGTTCCTCCCCTCCTCTACCAAAATTACACTGATTAAGATGCAGCAGGAGACACACCTAAAACCCTTCAGAGAAGGGTGACAAGAGTGAAACAACCACCCTAGGTCTTATTTGCAGCCGAGATGGAACCAGATGACATTCGTTTGCATGAGAGATGGAGTACAGAAAGCCTGAAGCAAAGACTGCAGTGAGTTCTGGGAGCAGAGGAGCAGGGGAGCACTGCATGACGGGAGATCTGTGCTCCAAATGCTAATCAATCCACATTTACACACACCCAGCTCAGCATTTATCAGACCAGTTCTAATCTGGATTTACAAATGCCTTTCCCCTCCAGACATACAAACACCTCTAAGTTTAATAGGCATCTCGGGTCGTGCGTTCCCTGGTCCCG